TTTTGCGGATACAGACTAACACGGCTGCTACTCTGAAACCTTTCAAGTACAAGTGATTGTTTAGTGTAATTTTTATATTCTATATGTACACATATATTTTAAAGCCTAATCATGACACCCAAAGAAATAAACAGGAGAAAATGCACTATATACATTTCCTACTGCTGCTCAGTCCCTTGGTTAGTACAGTAGAACCTCAGAGTTATGAACACCACAGCAATGGAGGTGGTTTGTTACCCTGAAATGTTCATAACTCTGAACAAAGCGTTTTGGTTGTTCTTTCAAAAGTTTACAACTGAACATTGAGTTAATACAGCTTTGAAACTGTACTATGCAGAAGAAAAATGCTTTTAGTTTACTTTTAACACAGTACTGTACTATATTTGCTTTTTTTTTTTTTGTCTCTGCTGTTGTCTGATTGCATCCTCCCAGTTCCAAATGCGGTGTGTAGTTGACTGGTCAATTCGTAACTCTGGTGTTTGGAACTCTGAGGTTCTACTTTTAGTAGTGCTATCTTTTAGCGTGTGTTTTACCATAAAAGACTCTGTACCTAGACAACACTCATTCCAGACAAAGAATGCAGGATGTGTGACTACTTTGTGCACCAACCAGAGAGAGCTGCAGAGGGACAAATGTTCCCCCAAAGCTTCCTTCACTGTCACCTATGTCATCGAAGAGAATTATCTGCTACTTCCTTGAGACAATCCCTTTTGTTTTATGATTAAAAAAAAAGAGTGTGCTCTTTGTTTCTTTTGTATCGTAGTATTTTTCCAGGATAGACAGTCAGATACAGCATATATCTTCTTCATAATGATGCAAACATTTTTATTATGCAAAATTGTACCAAATGTATCATATGAGAAAGACCTGTCATGGTGTTCCATCTCTATGATAGATGGAAAGGGGAGTGTGAAATAATAATAATTTTTATTGGGTGATATAGGAAGGAACTTTAAATCACAAACCTGCATCCACTTAAGTTGTATATACCTGCTGTTTCAAGCTTTTCTCTTGTGCACCATTACCACAGAAATGTCATTTGTGAGGCTGTTATGGAACAGGAGCTGTAAAAATGGAGAAGACGGCAGCCTGCATTAATCAGCCCTTTGGAAGTCTGCGGGGGCAAGCTGAGACTGCTGAGCGGTTTAGAAAGCTAACATCGTTGCTCCATGTAAAACTGAAAACAAAAGAGCAAATATGATGAGAGACTAAGGGAGAAGTAAAGTAGGCAGCTGGGGAATGGGGAGAAGGCACATAAATTTGATTTGCCTGGCTATAAATGTAACCAAAAAGTGAATAACTTTTTGTTTTTTAATTCATCTTCAAGGTTAAGCAGAACCCAAATAATGAAATCACAGATGCTGCAATCTTTTATCAGAAATAAATCCCAGGCTTGCACCAAAATAGAAAGCTTCCTACCCCACTAAGCAAGTGGCTCTCCTAAGACATAACCACCCTGCAATGAGAATGCAGTGTCAAGAAGTAAATAATTCCAGTCTTGGTACCTCTGTTATCACACCCCTAGTAACTATTCAAGTTCAGTAAGCTTTGAAGGGATATGCAGTTAACTTGTCTGGGGATTTTGGTAACATGAGTCAATTTAGATCTTTATCCCAATACTTAACTTGTTGCTATAATATTACAAGGAGTCCAACTCTCTCTATATGACTTCACTAAAAGTAAAATCCCAAACAAGAAAAAGATCAGGAACACCTAAAACTAACACCCTAAAAAATGCAGGCTACTTATCAACACAGATTGCCATTAATCTTATAGCACACCAATCTATCTACAAGTACTTACATGCTATCTCTTATGGAACGCCTTTCTTGAACTCTTCCATAAGAGTTTCTATCCTCTCCTCCTTTATATCCTTTTCAAGAGCAATTTCTGCTGTGATGTCTTCAAGAAATCAGACAATGCTTAATGGCTAGGCTAAGAGGCAGCTGGCTGAGGACAGTTGGGGAAAGCTGATATTTATGTATATCATTACGAAGCTAAAAAATCCCCAAATAAAAATAAAAATTTTAAATTAACAAATGTATATAAAATCATCTCTCCTTTCTTATCTTGCTTGTCTACTTAGGCTTGATTTTTTAAAGACGTGCACATGAAGCAAATGTGACTACTCACAGTGCATAACGTTAAGCACAGGTATACATCTGTGTAGGATCAGGACTTTAGACTGTAAGCTCTTTGGTATAGGGACCATATCTTCATATGTAGGGTTGGAAGGATTCGATTTTTATTGGTTAATGTAGGTAAACATTGATTTTTACCTTACACACACAAACCGACAAAAAATATTTTCAAAATTTACAGATAGGCAAAGAAAGAAAAATGCTGCTTGTGAACTCAGTAGAGTTTGATTAAAGTATATTTACTTGTTGTATATTTTGCATGTGTTGTTGACAATTTGTGTTTAAACAGTTATAAAACGTAAACTTTTTGAATCTCAATCTCTAGTGTCATAAAATAATTGTTGTCTGACCCCCTCCCCCATTAGTTCCTGCAACTGTGAAAATTTAGATCGATAAAAATGAAAAGGTCTTAAAAATAAACATCAATACCCATCAAAATTAATGAAATATAAATATTGAATACTGCCACACCTTGTCATATATATTTGTACAGTGGTACAATGGTGCCCAGATCCTGATTGGGGAATCTGAGAATGACAATCCTATAAATATTTAATAATGATAAATACTAAGTGGATTCACCAGCCTTCTATGGGTGAAATTCATCCCTAAGCATGAGCCCACACAAAGCCTATGAACCACTTAAGTTGTATGTCTATGTAATATATATGTATATATAGTTTTCCTTATAGACAATAGCAAAATCCAGACGCCTAACTCTACAGCTCTATGATAGTTCAGCCACTTCCAACCACAATAATAACCACCCCCCACCTCCGTTCTTTGAAATCTAGTACATGCTCAATATACAAATTTCCAAGAGTTCTTTAAAGGCGGAATGATTTGTTTAAGTAATGATAATCATTTAGTTAATTGCAAGCTTGGAACATCTGTTTCGAGTCCACAATTAAAACCAGGCAGCCACCTGACAAATGGCAAACCGCTGGGAGGTTCCACCTCTCTTCAGAGAGAGAATGTTAACAGGCAGGCTGCATATTAAACCAAATCTCTGACAGAAGGAAGTCCCTGCTTGGGTCTGTTGCTAATTCAAGTCCTTTTGAGTTAAATGGAGGTAAATTCCCTGCTGTTGTTTAACATTAGATTTAACACCAAGCAATCCTACTTAGAGAATATTTAATGATTTGAGAGTGGGTTATGCTAGAAATCTGTTCATCTATCATTTCAATGTGAGTGCTACACTTGGAGCCCTGCACAGGTGTGCTGTTATGATGGGAAAAACAAAGGATGACAGGAATTTATTTTATACACTTGTTATAAGATGATAGATGATATTGCTTACTACCTTTACTGTCTTTTGTGCTTGATCTTATCTGCTTGATGTATGACCATCTGAGAGCCTGTTTGTATGCCATATGTCTCCAGTATTTATTTATTTTTTAAGAATTTAATGTAGTGCAGCAAGAGATGTCTGAAAATTGTGCACATCAGCTGTGGAACTGAAGAGATTAATAGTGTTAAAATGTAAATTGTCCCAGTTAGGTGTGTGATGTTATCACTGAGGGGAGTGAGATGTCAGTGAGTATACTTCACGTACCTTTGTTGTGGCTGTGTCGATAAAGGGAATTGCCTGCAAAGCTGTATTATAGCAGCATATCATCAGGATTAGAATTCTTTAACCACTAGACATCACATCTCTCAGTTCCATGCATACATTGTCGTTTCTTAACAAATTTTGCTATTAATACTTCTGTTGCCCATATTAATTTCAGTAGGTCTCTATGTATAGAATTATTATGGTCAACCAGGCAAGACAACTCTCAATACTTCAACGGGGTGGGGGGGAATCAGCTTTATGTAGCTGTCAGGATGAAAAACTAGTTTAGAGTTGAGAGTACTGTTGAGTGGACTACTGTAATGTGAACTTGCAATGAATGGTACAAAACTGGAGTGTTTCTTGCCATACCCGCTCCAGCTGTTCATTCTCCATAAATAAGTTCAAAGTAAAACAGTCATGAGATATTGACAGGCTGATATTAGATTAATTAGCCTGGTGCTATTACTTTAGTGTTGGTTTTCCTCATGAAGATTGAAAGGCACCAAATTGGATTACGTTAATAATAAACCCACCTCCCAGTGGCTGGAGTTACCTCTCAGGCATTTCTGTTCATGAGTTAGTATCTGTGTGCCATACAGTGGGCTTAAGGATGTGATAGAAGGATGTGATGGTGAGTTCTTTGGTCTCGAATGCTACTTTCAAAGGTAACTTTTCTGGCAGTGTATTTCCAAGGAATAAAGCATCAGTGGAATGAGTGGTATCTCTCACTATGTACACAGGAAATAAGATGTACTGCAAAACATCATCCCATCTGTGAGGACATGTCAGAAGGTAATGTCCATATTCAGAGGTACCTCTTAAACCTGGGCAATGAGCTATGGAGCCTTCACTACTGACTTAATGAGAGCTGAGAATTTTTGACAAACACTTTCTGCTTTTTAGCATGAGCTGCTATCAGCCATATAATGTCTCTTCTGCTCACGTACATAGGTGATAATAACAGAATAAACCATATAATTGACTCAACAAAGTCTTTCAGCCAATAGTGTTAAATGCTGTGCAAATCATCTTGTCAGGGAGGTCATTAGAACAGGGTTAATGAGGAACACAGCATTAGTTTGGAACATATAACCTCCTTATCTGCCTGTATCGTTGATTCTAGTGTACATGAACTCCAAGTAAGGCAAATAGCTGTCTCTGGGTCATTGCTGTCTCGCTATGGAAGGCACAGAAGAGAAGCTCTACTGTCATGTATTTGTACAGTGCATTCCTTGATGCACAGCGTTTACCTTGCAGGATTCCTTCTTTCTTTTTCTCTTGGCCTAGTTGTGAAGTAGTTTTAACTGTATGTCACACATAAAAATTAAAAGCAGGACAGTTAGTTTCCTGGCAAAATAAAATGGCTGCCATTTTGCTCCCTAAATGCTCCCAGAAGCTGGCAGAAGCAGGAAGAAACATCCCCACATCTAATTTTCTCCCCTTCTCCTCCCCCTGGTGGCTCCTATAGAGAAAAGCAGCTGGCAAAACTAACCTTGACAAGATGTATTCCTAAGTGTGATATTTGTATTGATTTTCTTTTATCTTAAAGGCACAGTAGTTATGAGGAGATTTATTTCTCTGGTTAGATGCTGACCTTAAAACAATATTCTGCCTTATCAGTGTATTATACTGTTCCACAAAGATGCTTCAGACCAGAATACTTCACATTTTGCAAAATCAAGTCCTTAGCAAGAAGCTAAGTGGTTCTTGGTGTCACAGTTCAGGGCAACTGCACCGGTATTTCCCCCTCAGGGTCCAGCAAGAGCACCCACTTTTAGGCTTCTGGCTCCCCAGCCAAGCCCTTTGTTGAGTGGAAAAATACATCTCACTCCCTCCTGACAAGGGAATTTCCAGTCTGCAGTTTTATGCTTACACAGCCCTTTCTGAGCAAGCACAATTATTTTGAAGGTGAAAGCATTACAGAGAAAATGTACTAAAAATTATAAAAGAACCTAATAGATTTACCACAGATCACCCTGGTCTTCAACAAGAGCTGTGGTAAGAGTAAATCCTTCAAATCCCACCAAGGGGGGTTAGTTCATCATAGCTTTTGCTCAGAACAAGAACACACCTGAATCTGAGTCACTGCTTTATACAGTTTGGGTGTTTGATTTTGGGACCCTGGGAACAGGTAACCGACAAACAAAGGTCCCCTGCTCAGGGTGAAGCTTCAAAAGGCTGACTTCTTGCATCACCAGAGGAGATATATTTGCATACACCTCCCATTTAGAGCTTCCTTGGGAAACCCACTTAACTTTGTTTGTGCCATAAGTTCATTCTTGCCTGGCAATGTTATAAATAGTCCTTTGAAGCTCAGAACACTTCCCAGGGTTTACAGTGATCATGTCCACAGTAATTGTATTTTTAATACAATGGAATCCAAAGATACTTAAACTTAATTAATTAAGGCTTTTCAAGGATATTGCAG